AGTGCTAGAATTCGTACGGCCAAAAAATTTCATGATGATCTATGAAAGGAATTTTTTGGAATAGCAGAGGTCTTAAGGACTTGGCTAAAAGAAGGTTTCTCGCTGAGGAGTCTCTGGAGCGCCGTCTAGATTTCGTTGCTCTCTCTGAAACTGGAAGAGATAATTTTGCTCCTCAGTTTCTTGCTTCTCTTGTCGGTGGTATCGATTTTGACTGGCATTGCCTGCCTCCACGTGGACGATCGGGAGGAATCTTACTGGGAGTGAGATGCGATTCTCTTGAAGTCAGGAGTGTGGTGATGGGGGACTTTGCGGTTAAGTTTCGGGTTAGGTCAAAAGTTGATGGATTCGACTGGGCTTTAGTGGCGGTTTACGGAGCCGCACAACCGGAGCTTAAACCGGAATTTCTTGCGGATCTTGTTCGAATCTGTGGATCCGAACAGCTCCCAATGCTAGTCGGGGGTGATTTCAATATCATTCGAAGGAGAGAGGAGAAGAACAATGATAACTTCGACGGGAGATGGTCATTTATGTTTAACACCATTATTGAGAGCTTGGATCTGAGGGAGATAGAGCTTTCTGGCAGAAAGTTTACCTGGGCTAATGCTCTGCCAAACCCAACATATGAAAAGCTTGATCGTGTGCTGGCTAGTGTAGAGTGGGAACATAAATTCCCTCTGGTTACGGTACAAGCTTTAACGAGAGGCATATCCGATCACACACCACTGTTTGTGGACTCCGGGGAGTCCAACTATGTGGGAAACAAGAACACTTTCTCATTCGAGATGGCCTGGTTCGAACGTGAAGGTTTCTTAGACCTCGTTGCTAGGGAATGGGATAAGGGGGGTGGAGGTAAAACGGCGGTTGAACGTTGGCAGAACAAAATAAGGCACTTAAGAAGTTTCTTACGAGGGTGGGCTAAGCACCTAAGTGGGGCTTATAAGATCGAAAAGGATAGACTCCTAGCTCTTACTCAGGCCCTAGATACAAAAGCTGAATCTTCAATTCTGCTACCCGCCGAGCTCTAGGTTAAGAACGAGGCTGAGAAGAGGTTGAAAGAACTTCTCCGCGAGGAAGAGTTGAAGTGGGCGTTGCGCGCTAAGGTCCGCAAAGTAGTCCAAGGGGATGCCAATACTCAATTCTTTCACCTGATTGCGAATGGCAAGCACCGTAAGAAACGTATTTTCCAGCTAGAGCAAGATGAAGGCACAATCATTGGGCAGGATAATCTCAAAGCATACATCACTGAGTATTATAGACAGTTATTCGGGCCGCCGGAGGTTAATTCCGTGTCCTTGGATGAGTCCAGGACTGATGATGTTCCTCAGTTGTCGGTAGCCGATAATGAGATTTTGCTGGCCCCATTTACGGAGAAGGAGGTGTTTGATGCTATAGCACAAATGAAAAACAATAAGGCTCCCGGACCGGATGGGTTTCCGACTGAGTTCTATAAAAAGTGCTGGCACATTATTAAGGGGGATCTGCTACCTATGTTTACCGATCTTTTCTCGGGACAGCTACAACTGTTTCACTTGAATTTCGGAACCATCACATTACTCCCTAAGAGAACGGAGGCTGTGCGCATTGAGCAGTTCAGGCCGATTTGCCTACTCAATGTTAGTTTCAAAATATTCACCAAGGTCGGGACGAACAGGCTCTCACAGATTGCGCTTTCTGTGGTGCAACAGTCTCAAACTGCTTTTATGCCGGATAGAAACATCCTTGAACGGGTGGTTGTCCTGCATGAAACGCTCCATGAAATTCATTCTAAAAAATTAGATGGAGTAATTTTTAAGGTGGATTTCGAAAAGGCGTATGATAAGGTTAAGTGGCCATTCCTGCAGCAGGCATTGCGTATGAAAGGTTTTGATGATGCCTGGCGCCATCAGGTGGAATCTTTTACGCAAAAAGGGAGTGTTGGTATTAAAGTAAATGACGATATAGGTCATTACTTCCAAACTCACAAGGGCCTCGGGCAAGGAGATCCAATGTCCCCTATCTTGTTTAACATCGTGGTGGATATGTTAGCAATTTTGATAGGAAGGGCGAAGGACAATGGACAAGTGGGTGGCCTAGTACCTCATCTGGTTGATGGAGGTGTATCTATTCTTCAATACGCTGATGATACAATACTCTTTATGGAGCACGATTTGGCCAAGGCGAGAAATATGAAGTTGTTACTATGCCTCTTTGAACAATTATCGGGGTTGAAGATCAATTTCCATAAGAGCGAGTTGTTCTGCTTTGGGAGAGCCAAAGACGAACAAGAGTCTTATAGGCAATTGTTTGGGTGAGAGTTGGGAAGTTTACCTTTCTCCTACCTTGGCATTCCGATACATCATCGTAGGCTAACTAACAAAGAGTGGAAGTGTGTCGAGGATCGATTTGAGAAGAAACTGAGCTGCTGGAAGGGTAAGCTCATGTCATACGGAGGCCGGTTAATCTTGATTAACTCGGTGCTCACAAGTATGCCTATGTTCCTCTTATCTTTCTTTGAAGTTCCAGTGGGTGTTAGGAAAAGACTGGACTTTTATCGATCACGTTTCTTTTGGCAGGGTGATGAGCACAAAAGAAAATACCGGCTTGCTAAGTGGGATATTATCTGTCGACCCAAAGACCAAGGTGGGCTTGGTATTGAGAATCTAGAGGTTAAGAACAGATGCCTTCTTAGTAAGTGGTTGTGGAAGCTCACGTCCGGTACTGAAGCAATGTGGGCGCAAATCATTCGCAGCAAGTACCTCCAGACTAGAACGTTATCGCAGGTATCAGTTAGGCCGACTGATTCGCCTTTCTGGAAGGGACTAATGAAAGTCAAAGTATTACTGTTTAATAGGACAAAAGTGGTCCTTGGAAATGGTGCTACTACACGTTTCTGGGAGGATTCTTGGCTGGGTGACTCGCCCTTGGCTATGCAGTATCCTTCTTTATATCGTATTGCGCAACGACGAGAGGTGTTCGTGGCAACGGTATTTCAAACTATCCCCCTTAATATTCAGTTTAGACGGTCGTTAGTGGGCAATCGTTGGGAGGTTTGGCTCCAGTTAGTAAGGAGACTAATGGAGGTCCAACTCTTTGACCAACCTGATGTATTACGCTGGAAGTTGACCAAGAATGGGGTATTTACAGTGAGGTCAATGTATCTTGATGTTATTAACTCAAGTTCTATTCCAACGTCCAAAAAGGTATGGGATGTTAAAGTTCCTTTGAAAATAAAAGTGTTTATGTGGTTTGTGCATAAACAAGTCATTCTCACAAAGGACAATTTGATAAAGCGTAATTGGACAGGACCTACTAGGTGTAGTTTCTGTGATCGAGATGAGACAATTAAACATCTCTTTTTTGATTGCCCGCTAGCTAAGGTTCTATGGCAGACGGTGCATATTGCCTTTAATATTACTCCACCCACCACGGTTACCGCTTTATTTGGGACTTGGCTTAATGGGATTGATTCTGCATTAGCAAGGCATATTCGGGTGGGAGTTTGTGCGTTGATGTGGACCATCTGGTTGTGCAGAAATGATTTGGTTTTTAACAGAACACCACGAATTCATTTTTTGCAGGTTCTATTCCGAGCTACGGCTTTGATCCGTTTGTGGTCGTCACTCACTCCGATGGAGGCCAGGGAGTATTTGGTTACTGGGTCTACCCGATGGGAGATGGCTGCTCGGGTTATCTTCAACCGGTTTGGATGGCAGTCATGTAATAGGATAGGCAATTAGTTTTCCTATCTTCTTTAGCCAGCCGGTTGTGGCATTTTATTTCTGGCTAGTCTGTGTGTCGATATGGGCTGCATTTTCTTTGTTTGTTTTTGAGACTATGGAACCTTGTATGCACACTTTGCTGCTTTGGTTAATAAGAGGGCCGTATGCATCATTCTTGATGCAGAGGCCGGGGTACCCCCTTTTCGAAAAAAAAATGATTGAACATTCTATCATGGTTAAAGATGTAACATCGAATTTTGAACATTACGAATTACTTTGACCATAATTTAGTATTAGTAGCTAATTCCAAAATTGCTTCAGTCTCCTGGGCTATATGGAGCTTCAATTTCGGAAATTAGACTTCAAATTTTGGAAAAACTAAAAAACACACCTGTAAATAAGGATTTATATTAGTCGCAAAAAAATAAGGATGTATATTGGGACATGAAGTTTATGCTCCCAGGCTCAAATGCACCTTGTGAGTAGTAAAATCATAAAATTAGGTAATAAATTAAAAAACATATTTTTTTAGCAATAAACATTGTTAAATGTTCTACATACCTGCAAATTGCTGTAAAGAAAAAAAATACCTAGTGCTCTTGGAAAAAACGGTAATGACAATTTTTTAAAGTATTTTGGAGAGCTGTTTTTGTTATTTTTGCCCAGATCTACACGAAATGTGATGTCATCACAAAAAATTGCACGCAAGCAGGAAACTAACAATTTGTATGTTATAAAAAAGTCAGAGTTTTTAAATCTTGTTTACTTATTTTCCATTTAATGTTCATAAGGGTGCATTTGAGCTTGGGATTATAAGGACACTTTCATGTATACTACATGTTTGTAATGTTTCCTGATGAAATATGCTCCATGTGAGTTGTACATGATTTTGGTCTTTTTATGTAGCTCACATCAGAACGTATTTCATCATGAAAATTGACGAATATGTAGCAATACCTAAATATATGTCTACACATTTTTAGATTTTTTTGAAAGTTGTAAACTTTATTTTTGTTTTTTTTCTTCAAAATTTTGGTTTCCTGGAACCGAGTGTCAAAAATCATCACTCTAAATGGTTTGACTAATTTAGTGCTTATTTTGCACCATAGTGACATTACAACCCCTCTGTACTCGAACCAATTCAAAATGAGAAAGAGAAAAATAGAACAAGAATAGTTTTCCTTTCTCCTCTTGTACTCCTTGATCTTCTAATTACCCCCTCCTCCCATCTTATAGCCAAGCCCTTTGGCTTTCACTATATTTAATGTTTGCACATAAGCCCCTAAAAAAAGCTTTCATCCCTCAGCTCTTCTTCCACTCCTCGGCGCCGGCGAGGTAGGCCTTCTTCCTCTTCTCAGCTCGCGCGCACGCGCAGATGATGACGAAGCACGCGGCGTACACGGCGTAGACGCGCCAGTTCGCGCGCGGGGCCTCGCCGGCGGCGGCGCGGTGGAACACCGCGGCGTAGTAGTGGAGGCCGACGGCCAGCCCCACCACCATCTGCGCCAGGCCGAGCGCCTTGGTGGCGTCCGCGCCGCCCTCCTCCTCCTCCGGCGAGGCGGCCCCGGAGAAGACGGCGACGAGGTCCACCATCTGCAGCACGAGGTAGCCCATGAAGCCGAGCGACTGCGCGGCCTGCGTCCAGGCGTAGGCCGCGGGCGAGGCGGCGTGGAAGAAGCGGAGCGGCTCCAGCCCCGTGGCGGCGGCGGCGAGCGCGAGCGTGCCGAAGTAGATGGCGAGGTAGGCCTGCGAGAGCAGCAGCGCGCGGTGGAGGAGCGGCAGGTACGGGCCCATGCGCCGCACCAGCGCGGTGAGCATGCAGAGGGGCAGCAGCAGCAGGGCCACCGACGCCGCGGAGGCCGCCGCCGCGCCCCACCGGCCCCCCAGGACCGGCCGCACGCCGCCGGCGATCCCCGCATTGGCGGCCGACAGGTAGGCCTTGGAGGTGTACGACAGCCGCGCCAGGTCCGGCATGAGCGTCTGATGCAGCCGCGCCGGGAGGCCCCGGAACTCGGACATGAGGTCCTCCGTCCCCTCCGCCTCCTCGGCGAACACCACGTCCTCCTCCACCCCCGCCGCCTCCTCGCTTCTCACGGTCGAATTCGCCTTCACCTTCCCGTCGGCGACGACGGCCTTCGCTTTCTTGCTCGACTTGGTCGAATCCGCCTTCCCGTCGGCGACAACCTGCGGTTTCTTGCTCGACTTGGCCGAATCCGCGGTCGAATTGGACGGCTTCTTGGCCTTGGGGGCGCCCCCCTCAGATTTCGCCGGCTTGGCAGCGCCCGCCTTGGTGGACTTGGCGGAATCGGCGCTCTTGGGCTTGGCGGTGGCCGCCGCCTTGTCCAGCTTCGGGACCTTGGGCTTGGCCGCATCGCCGGCCGCTTTAGCGGTCGGCTTCTTGCTCGTGGTCGACTCTCCTTTACCGGTCGCCTTCTTGGTGGTGACCTTGGTTGTCGCGGTGGACTCCTCCGGTTTCTTGCCTTTCAGAACCTTGGTCTGGTTCTTGGCGCCAGAGGAGGCGACCTTCTTCTTGACGCCGGCCGCCGCGGTGGCCTTGGGCGCCTTGACCGGCTCGTCGTCATCGGTGGAGACGAGCTCCTTGCGGCCGCTGGAGAGCTTGGGCTTGGGCTTGGCGGCCGGCGCGGCGGAGGAGCAGAGCGCAATGTGGCAGCAGAGGAGGGCGAGGAGGAGCAGCAGCAGCACTGGCCTCGGCGGCGACCGAGCCGCCATGTTTGGCAGATCTGGCCGGGGCTTTTGCGGAGCAAGATACGGCAGATCCGGGAAGAGTGAGGGAGGGTTAAGGTATTTTTGGCTCGATTTATATGTAGGGAAATTGGGAGCGAAAAGGGACGAAGAGAGTGTGAGTGAGTGGGGAGCGAACCACACCACCACCGTGGGCTGGAGTGTGCGAGTGGAGTGGGGAGTGAGCGAACTACGACGGTGTTTGGCACGGCCGGTACCGGGGCACGCACACGACCACGTCGACGTTGGTGCGGCTCCTCCGAACCGTCGGTGGACTTTTGCCAACTCAGGCCAACTCCACCGCGCGATCCTATCCTGTCCGCCCCGATCCGTTTGGGGTAAAAGGGACAAAGAAGGCGGCCCAGCGCGCGGGCGCAAACGGACTTTTGTTCGTTTTGTGTCCGCTTTCGACCCATCCGCGGCCCAAATTTGCGTCGCTTTTGGGGTGAAACGGACATCACGCGGACACGCGGGTCGTCTGCGCGTGTCCTCCCCTGGCTCGCCCGTCGGTGGCATAGGACGGGCCTTTTTCTATCCGCCCCCCTCCTCCCTCCGTCCGCATCCACCCCACTCTTCCACACTCTTCCTCTCTCTCCCCCCCTCGCCGCCGCCGGACGCCCGCTGCCATTGCAGCCGTGCACCTCGGACGCGCGCTTGCCCAGCCCGTTCCTCTCGTCGCCGCCGAGCTACCCAAGCACGGCCACCTTGTTTGCGCACCCGCCGGCTGGATTTGGGGCGGATCCGGTCGGTCTTGAGCTCGACCGGCTATGGGAGGCCGGGCGGCGCCATGGACTGGCCGGGCACCTTGCCGGAAGGCCCTTGCAGGGCCGCAAGGCCACATGCAGGCAGTGGCTCGTCCTCTAGCCGCTCGGATCTGCACCGCCGGTGGTCCGCCGGCAGATACGTGAATGGCGGCCGGCCAGGCTCGGTGCTTGCCCAAAAGCTCGTCGGCGCACCGTTGCCCCTCATCAAGTGCGACCACTGCCCAAGGGTGGTCGTGCGCCGCGTGTCTACAACGCCGGAGCATCCCGGGTGGGTGTTCATCAAGTGCTTAAACGATGGGGTATGTGCTCTTTTAGCTTCGGTGCATGTTTGTGCTCTTGGATTAGACTAGTGGTGCTAACTTTAAATTTTTTTGTGTAAACCGGATGCTAGTTTTGGTATTGGGAAGAAGAGTACATCGATATGTTGATAGAGCGAAATGTAGTGCATGTTCGTGCACTTTTAGCTAGCTTAGAAGCTTTAGACGAGACAAGTGCATTTGTTGCTAGATTAGAGTCTAGGCACGATACTACGTGCGAAGAAGCAACAAGGCACGATACTACGTGTGAGGAAGCAACGTCGACTTCTGGCTTGAAGAAGAAAGGAGGGGGCAATGTCGTGCCTCCTCCACAGATCAACAATGAGTGCATCGAGAAGGCACTAACCCAACTCAAGGGAGCAGTTATGAAAGTTGGGTATCTTCTCAAATGTATTCTTGTGGTACTTGTTTTCTTTGGCCTTGTTTTACTAGTCAAAATATGATGATGTATTGTTATGTACCGAAAATGAATGATAAAAAAATTTTAAGGACTTGCAAAGAAATATACGCGGACAGGATGGGGCAAATGGATGCGGCCGCGCGCTGGGCGCACGACCACCGCATCCCAGGACAGGCCCGCGCGACCCCGAACGAACGTCTGTTTTGTCCGGTTTCGGTCCGTTTGGGTAGGGGTTTGGGACCGTGTCCGGGCCTGTCCTGGGATGCGGTGGCCGTGCGCCCAGCGCGCGGCCGCATCCATTTGTCCCATCCTGTCCGTGCCCACTTAAAAAACTAAAAACAACATTTCAAATGCCAAGGCGTAGTTCAGGCCAGCGGCCCCGTTTTATCATGCCGGCAACAGAGCCAGCGGCCTACACGTCCATCACCGGCATCAGCCAGCGGCCTACACGTCCATCACCGGCATCAGCCAGCGGCCGGCAACACAGCCAGCCTCCAAAATGTATAGTTCTCCTCGCCGGCAACACAGCCAGCGGCCGGCAACACAGCCGGCCTCCAAAATGAATGTTTTCTCGCCGGCACACTGCCAGCGGCCCGACGGGCGGCACCCATGCCAGCCTAAAAAAGAACGGCCACGCCGATCGGACGACCTAGTTCAGGCCTTCGGCGTCGAGCATCTCCTTCTGCCTGGCCTCGAACCAGGCCCTCGTCTTGTCGCTCATCTTCGACAAGTCCACGCTCATGATCGCAAGGGCCACCTCCTTCTCTTTGGTGGCGGCATTGGTGGCCTCGATGTCGAGCTGCCTCTGCCTGGCCTTGACGTTGTCGGCCTCGATGTCGAGCTGTCTTTGCCGGACGGCCTCCTCCATGTCGATCTTCCTCCTCTTGGCCGCCTCCTCCATCTCAAGCTTCTGTCTTTGAAGGTCTAGGTATTGCTTCATTTGCTCGTCCTTGCTTTGCCGCTTTTTCTCGTCCCTCACATCCTTTTGAGACATCATGCCATGCAAAGTCTCATGCAAGGCCATGGATGAGGCGTCACGCATGTCGTCCACCTTGGAGTTGGTCTTGCCCCTCGGCCTCTTCAACGCCTCGCCATCCCCACCTCCGGCGAACTTGGACGTCTTCTTGCCTCTTTTTTTTTGAAGTTCACGGTATTGGTCCTTGAACTTGGTGCAATTATTGATGATCGTCCAACAATGCGCAAGAGTAAATGGCTTGTCATTGTGCCGGGCCTTGAATGCCTCCAAAGATTGGAATGCCTACACCACATGATCAACAACAAGTGAACATGCAAACATATACACGGCCGAAGCCTCATGGCCGTAGCAAGGAAAGAGCTAGAAAGAGGAGACCATACCATGTCCCCAACGCTGAGACAACTCACGGGCCGTGCTTCAATGCTCTCAAATGCGGCGCAATACTTGTTGCACTCTTGTTGGATGAACAACCATCTTTTTTGAATCGAGCCGATGCCACGGTTGCTTGTAATTTGGTAGGGCTCAAACATCTTCCTTTCATGGAATGTTTTGTGGACTCTCGTCCAAAAAACAATGCCCTTGCGCGCCGGTCCTCGGATCTTGGCTAATCTCCATCCAAGCTTGGCAAATCAACTTGTCCTCATCTTGTGTATATGAACCCGTGCGAATGCTCTTCCTCTTCTTTTGTGCCTCGACTCTTTGGGTGAGCTCGTCGATGAACAATGGCGCACCACTAATATCAACGTCATTGCTTTCTTCTTCTTCATCATCACCTTCGACATAGATGTCATCGTCTTCATGCCACGAGTCACCGTGGTCGTAGTCAGCACGGTCGTCGGCCTCTTCATCGGGGACGTACTCGGCACGGCCATCCTGACTTTGGGTCTCATCGAGGTCGTAGGTACGGCCATGCCCACCGTCGAAGATCACGTCCTCCATGTACCGGTTGTAGAAGGGGTCGTCGACCGCTGTCGTTGGGGTTGGCATTCCATCA